TTAGCCGATCAAGCCAACAATGGGTCCCTAGACCTTATATTTTCTATTAGGACGTATTTCTGCCAAACAGAACTATGTGCATTAAGACATGAGCCCTGAGACCCGTAAGAATATATGCATAACAAGGCTCACGTCATAATGCACATAGTTCCGTTTGGCAGAAATACGTCCATTTAATATTCTGAAAGTAGCAGATGAGTATTTTACGAGGTGATTTTATTGCGTACTTTTTACGCCAAAATCCCTCCCGACCAAGAAGCCCGCTTTAAAAAGTTACGAGGACTCGAAAGAATTTTAAACGCGTCGGAATGACGGAAAATTATTAACAGTGAAGTACCATGACAAAAATCAAACCGCCATCGCCTCTCATTTTTCACTGATGTTACGTATTTCAATGTGGAATTGCTGCTTGGTTATTGAAGATAAGATGAACGAGATTTCACTCTTTGATTCTGAAGATTAAGTTTTGACATTCATATTGTTTCCACGTACGAGGAGAGGAAAAACATTTGACGGAAGTCGCAGGAACACGTGCCGCTTCTAATGGACCACTAGACAAGGTACGAATTTCAGCATTCTGATACATGTTTCCTCACTAAAATTTCACGTAAAACACGATGCGCACAACGAAAATTACCAAAATCAACTCCTTCCGAGGATATTTAATGATTCTTGGTGCGTGAATTTAAACCACCCGCTCATGAAAACTCAATGCTCTAAGTGATTCACATCGCGCGCTAAACATCATTATGAACGTCTCTACGATAAAAAAATCTGGCAACCTCAATCTTGACACTTTGGCTCAGCTATAGCAAATTACTTATAGTTTGAAAAACACATGGTGGGAAATGGACATTGCTCGATTGAGAAGCTTGCTGAAACCGTTGTGGTGCGCGATTTGACTCACGTAGAGCTTTGAGTTTCTTGTGAGCGGGCAGTTCAAATTCCTCGTAACCAATGTGAAATAAAAATGTTAATGTCTCCGTTAGGAGTTGGTTTCAGTAATTTTCGTTGCGCGAATCGTGTTCTACGTGAAATTCTGGTTAAGACACATGTAACAGAATGATTAAATTCATACCTTGTCTAGTGGTCCATTGGTTCTTGATGACATCGTTCGGTTCGGCGCGAAACCGAGACGTTTAAATTTTGCGGATAAGTTGCGCTTAAAGACTTTCGTATTTCTTGGTTTCTGAATTACTTTTTTGCGTTTTCATCATTTTCGACATGTTATTTATCTTAGGACTAATGTATTCGCGAGTCAAAATTCGTTCATGGTTGGGTAAGACATCATAGTCACTGCCGATACGCGCTGGACCTAATACACCTTGCCATCGAGCTGGGTAAAGAGACGGACCCCAATAACCAGAGTTAGAACGTACTTTAGGCTCAAAACAAGCAATACATGATCATGCCACGTAGAGAACACTGTTAGAAATTGCTGAAACTTCTAAAATCTGTGATAAGAGTGAAAAATTGTGTTCAGCGACATATCGACGGTGAAACTACCAAACCACGTATCTCGTTTGCGGTGTTTAAAAATCTACGCTCACATTTTATTTTTTTGAAGTAGACCAAATCAATATCATTCCTTGAAATTTTCACAGAATTTTCTCTGCACAAAGAGGAAAAATCACAGAAATTTTCAAGACTGGACGTTAAGTAGTTTTTCATTTAAAAAATAAAGTATGGCAGGAAGTCTGCGACGTCGCAAACCGAGATACGTGGTTTGGTAGTTTCACCGTCGATATACGTCTCGTTGGGAAATACAGACCTGTTTGAGTTAAGTCACGCACTGAACTAATTACGATGCACTTACTGGAGGGAAGTTTTTCTCATCAGTGTGCCGATTTCCTCTTGACAAGTTCAGAAGCACAGCAAAAGTGACGAGCAGTGTATCAGGAAAAGGAGGGAATTTTTTGTCACACGGAAAAAAAAGAACTGTCATTTTAACAGTCACATTGAATGTTAAATTTGTTTGACGTTTCTCTGTTCTTTTACTTGTCGTGACTGCTAATTGAACATTTTAAGTATGTTGAAACAAAAGTATTCAAATCTGTTAGCTCAACATCTTATTGATGCTTTTGAAATAACATTCTGTATGTTATTCCATCATCGCACGACTGTTGAGTTAACGTCAGGTGCGGTTCATTAAATCAACAGTTCCTGAAGCTCTTGGAATGACTGTCATTGGCTTTTCATTTTACAGTCCACCCGTTATTTTGACATTCGTTTGGATATT